TATTATTATTATTATTATTATTATTATTATTATTATTATTGTTTCCAGTTGCCAAAAACGTAGCATCATTATCACCTTCAGTTCAACTGTAAGTGCATTTTTAGGTGACGTAGGAGATTGTATCCGGTTCCTAATTAGGTTGGTAACAAAAAGAATGTCCTCATGATTGAGCCTGTACCTTTTTATCAATTCATTATTGTCGTACGTCCGCAGGACGTCCTTTCTTTGACGGAAAGTGCGCGGTCTCTGTCTGGGTGCGCGTAGTGCAGCTGCCATCATTCAACTCCTAACTGGCTTAGCAGTCCTCTCCAGCTCTCTTAAATAATTTAGGAGCTAAGACCAAGTCTTAACACTTAAGAATGTTTATACATGCCACTTATTCTTAAGTCTGGGAGTAGGAGCAAAATCATGTCACTCTTAGAATTGTGACGCAATTAAGAGTGAAATTTTACTCTGAGAAGTTTTATGCATACTGGCCCTGGTTCGTAACCCGATTTGTTCATGAACAGGACTGTTTGTGGGTCAAGGTACCACTGTATTTCCAGTACCAAAGAAAACTGCCTGAATGACTCTCATCCAGTCACCCTGACACCGACTGTCATGAAGTACAATCATATATCAAAAGCAGTATATCACCCACCCTGGATCCACATCAGTATGCATATCGGACAAATAGATCCACTGAGGATTAGATGGATGACTGATTGGATTGATATTCTTTTAGGCTAGGCTGTAAAGATTTTAGTGTGGCAGGCCACCACTGTGAAATGTTACCAGCAGAAACATTCAATTCAGAAAAATTAAGATTTACCTGTGCCACCCCAGTAACAGTAAGAGCTACACCTTCAGCGGTCTCTACATCTTCACATTTGGGCTTTACGGTCATTACTTCAAGTGAAATCCTGTAAAGAAAACAACAGCCAGTGTATCACCAGTAAGACTCCATTTTTGTATGATTTGTGGAGCCAATAGTCACAAGCAAAATGAAATATTAGCATATCCCGCTCTGCAGCTGGTGACAGAATGCATTCGATAACATTATTCAGGCGTTATACCTTTGAATATCAGAGATACACCACCATGCCCAGGTCCAGCCTCCAACCACATATGATTTGTCATCAGAGCCACAACAAGCACCTGTGGGGATACAGAGAGCACTTAATGATACAGGGAAACAGGAACAACCTGAACGACTGTGGCCTAATGCTAAACAAAAAAAGACACTCGTTTTGGGCAGGATGGCAAACAGAATTGATATGATGAAGGGACTTCATTTGGAGATGGGAATGGAGATGGTTGGAATAAAAATAGTGGGGAAAAGCTAAAACAAGAACTGGTAATTTCAGCATTAGAACAGAAGGAGCCACATGAAAAACAGATGTACAATTATGGAAAGCCTTACAGCAGTGCAGAGTCCTGCACCGGGTCGGGTACCCGCAGATAGTCGCTGAAACGGGCGGATTTTAATGTTCTGGAATTTTATGGGCGGGTATGCAGGCAGGTAATTCATTACACATGGGCGGGTAGCAGGTCAATCAAAACAATATTGTAGCCTGCAAAAATAACATAAGCGAAAATAGCTATATATTAGACTATCATGTACAAATTGTCATCATCACAGTGTGTTCATTATGTCGGAGGTACCTTATGGTACTTTTGATTATTTCTCTCGGAACTCGGATGAAAACGTCACGAAACACGTCACTTCCCATCGAAAACACGCCTCTTTTATGACATTGATGTCGGACAAGATTTTGTTGTCCGAGTTGCCCCTGTGATGTAATTTCAACATGGCAGCTTACATACGCAACAGTAATTCTATTTTATAAATCTTTAAAAATGTTTATTTTGTTAAATGTATTAATAGTTATAAATGTAACTGCACGTGTTCGATTTATAGAATACCATATCATGACAGTAAACAGTATCCTATCATGCAATATCAGATTTTTACCAGACTTGTTAGTGTCTTTGGTTTGTTTGTAGTTTGTTTGCCTCTCAAAAAAAGAATATTGCTATGAATGTGCTAAAATATTTTATAAATCCTTTAATGTGGTTTGACTAGTTTGTGTTTCTTGTTTGTTTGTCTCTCGGAAAAAATCTCACTCCAAATCTGCTAAAATATAAAGCAACAATACACAGCAGTGTGTTCATGGATGCAGCCATGTTTGTTCCGAGATGTGGGTAGCTCGAACGGGAGATTGTCGGACGTGATTTCACTCAACTCGGAATTTCAGAGTTCCGAGAGAAAAACGAACGCACCATTAGATAACCGCCTCGACAAACATTCACATACACGTCTCCTTGCTGAAGCGTGTCGTTGTGTTCTCTCTTTCACGCTCGTCACAGTGTGGATAGCTTAGATCTATCTGATTTGATTTTGTGTTAAACTGACTTTTTCATTTCAATTCAAAATTCATGTAGGCCTAGCACTTGTCACGTTGAGAGGTGCAAAGAAAAAAATAATTGTGTGCAATTTATCATGGGTACGGGTGGGTAACGGGCGGAATGTTAACGGGCCCGGGCGGGTGTGGATTTAACTTTGAAATAATCACGGGTGCACAAGCGGGTGTGGTGCTGTACTGTGCGGGCGGGTCTCCAAAAGTGGACCCGTGCAGGACTCTGCAGCAGTGTGTGGGATCAGCAGTCAGGGGTGAGCCCCTTTTTTGCGCCAAAGCAACCAGAATCTGACTGATATACACTCACCTAAAGGATTATTAGGAACACCATACTAATACGGTGTTTGACCCCCTTTCGCCTTCAGAACTGCCTTAATTCTGCGGGGCTTTTATAAAACAGGGTGCAAAAAGTTTTTTTAAAAATTTTT